TGATCATCAGTTTAGGCAGTGGCTCTTTAATATTTGTCATGGCTTGATGCCTTGTCTGAAATGCTAATAGGAAGCAGGGGGATGGAGTGGAGAGTTGTTGGCAAGAGAGGCAAACACTGGAGGGAGCAGTCCATGCATTGTAAGAGAGTCTCCTGGTACAGCTGGTTTCAGGGATCTGGAAAATGAAGTGGATACTGGAGAGCCTCAAGCCTGCAATTCAGTGTCATCTGTGAGGTAAGGTCTGTAAAATGGATTTCTTCCTAAATTTGTGGGTTATCACCCACTCCTTTATGATTTCTATTCCCTAGCCCTCCCTTGGCTATGGTAAGCAGAATAAAAGCACATGCTGCATTCAAATTATCTTGGATGCTTTAAAGTGTTCTCAGGTGCAAAACCATATTGGCCTGATGACTGTTCTGAGGCTGTTACCCTCTTCTGTGCTACATACTTCCAGGTACAATTTGGCTTCAGAAGATTAAATAACATACTTTATTACAGAATTTGCTAAAAATATTGCTTGATAAATTTACCTATACGGTGATCATCTGTCTTTCCTCTTGCTCTTCATGACCAATTGTGACTACGCTTACACCAGGATTTCTTCATTGGTCAAGAAATACATACGGGTTCTATCAGTACAGTTCAATTATTCCTCATAGAACCATGACTGGCTGTATCAGTAGAATCATGCATCTGGTGGTATAACGTTTGCCCATAGCAGGAGAGCCAGCTGGTACAGCTACACTGAGGATGGCAGAAATACCAACATTCACACTGCTGTATCCACAGACTTACAAATAATTCTGTTAAACGCATCTTCAGCTTTGAGGAATGGTCTTACAGACTTCACTGAAACAACATGCAGACCGATGTGCTGAAAGAGGAGAAACCTGGTTTGAGTTTTGCCACTGATGTATCAGGACATCTGCTTGCATGTGAATTCGCACTGGCATTATGTATTCTGCTATGGAACAAAAAGAGACAAGAATCAAACCCATTTTCCACTACTATTTTAAGGCTGCTCTCCCAATGGCTATTAAGAGTTTGCTGTGGATACTGACACTGATGTGGATATAGTCCCAAGGAGGAAATAGAAGGTTCATAAATGAGCACCTCAAACTGAAACCTACTAGTGACAGTCGATACAGGTGGATCTGTAGTCTCCTGCTGACTGTCACAGCGCTCTCCTGGCACCTGCAGTGTATAACAGGCTGTGGAGCCAGTGGATGCTTTGCAGAGTGAAGACTTCAGCCATAACTCACCTGAATGAATTGAAAGATTATTTCAGATCATTAGTAGTGCCTCTGGTGCATGTTGCCAGGGCGCACTGACAGTGCTTTATTGACTCTGAGTGTTTCAGGGTTACCTCTCAGCTCGATTTCCTAACCACCACTACCCATCATCTCATAGGATCGCACGTCCCTTTGGGTCTCAAATATAATCCTTTGATTAGAACTCTTCTGGTATTCTTATATTTGAAGCACTCAGCACCACAAGCCCTAAGGTACACAGGTTATGCTCCCACACCCTGCCTGCAGCTCTGGTCAAACGTTTGAACAATTTAAAGGATGAGAAAGAAGACTGCAACACAGATGGGATTATGATGGGTACTGAAAAGCTCCACCTCTGCTTTTGGAAATTGGAGCTGGGGCAGCCTGATGAGAACTGACTGTTGGGTAAATGAGACGATAACGCTTTCTGAAGTTTCATTTTTTAAGGGTAGAATTTTCATGCATCTCTCTACTTTCCCATTTTCTCAGTTATTTTTACTTTCTAATAATTTAATTTTCGGAGCGTATGTCCGCAGTGCCATCCAGAACGCCGCTCTGCCCCGTGCCTGCAGCCGGCCGTCAGTTCCATTCCCACAGTAATTTGAATCGAGGAAGCTGCTAAAAAAATAAATACGGAACCGAGCGCAGGCTCTGAAAGTGCTCGCCAGCATCCTTCCTATAAGCCCAATTTTGCGTATTTAGTTCTTCAATTTTTCATTTAATTAATTGAAAAATGATTTGACTCGCAACGGCAATGAGACTTCCACGCTGCCGGGCGCGATCTGAGGCGCTGAGCGCAGCCCCTGGAGGGCTGCACCGCGCTCCGCCGTGGAAGGCAGGCGCCGAACGGTCGCGACCCACGGGACGCGCGTTCCCTCCCTCCCGCTCTCCGACTGCCGTTCCCCGCTCAGCGACGGCTTTGATCGCGGCTCCGCTCTCGGCGCGGTGCCGTGACGGCGGCGCCGGGAACTCCAGCGGGCGGGGGGGGAAGGGGAGGGGCACGGCGAGGCGCGCGCAGGGGATTCCCCCGCCACCCCTCGCGGAACGTTCGGGATTGTTCCCATGACGTCACCGCACGGGAGCTCCCGCCGGCGGGGCGGGGGTGGGGTCGCACACCTCGGCGGCGGTCGGCGAGCCAACCCCGGGCTCCCGCGGGGTCGCGCGACGGCTCTCGCGAGGTTTAGTCGCGCGGAGCGTTGCGGCTCGGAGCGGCGCCATTTTGGGAGCGAGGCGAGCGGTGTGTGCGGCTGCGAGCGCCGCGCGCTCGAGTCCGGGGCCCCGCGGCTCTCGGGGCGGAGGGTGCGGGACGTCGGGCCCAAAGCGGCCCGGCGGCGGGGGCGGGCAGCAGGCCTCCGGGGAGGGAAGGAGGAGGCGGAGGCGGCGCGGAGGGGCCGGGGCGGTACTGCTGCGAGGGGCGCGGGGCCGCCCCGCTCTCTCCCCCGCCGCGGGGCCCGGGTGAAGGGGGGCCGGTTGCAGGGAGCGCGGGAACCGCAGAGCCCGTCCTGTCCCGTCTCCTACCCGCCTCGAAGGGCTTCGCGGAGCTGGAGCGTCCCAGCCGGGCTGAGCCGCGGCCGGAATCCCCCGCCGCTCCCTCGGGACCGCGGAGTCCCCCGCTCGGGGCAGTGCCTCCTCTCGGGCGTCTCCCGCGGTTCGGTCCGTCCCCAATAAAATGAGGAATGCCCCTTCCTTCTGGGTTGGTGTCTGTTTCTCGGAGCGGAGGAGATGCCCGCGCCTCGCAGAAGGGCAGCGGAGCGTTAGCGCAGCCGCGTGCTCCGGTAAATGAATGCCCGCAGCCCGTGCGGGCTGCGAGAGCCGCGCTCGGCCCTCCGAGTCGGGGCTCCGCTGCTGGCCGCGTGCGCGTGGACGTTCGGACGTGCCCGGCCGTGCGGCGCCCGTCCTGAATCCAGCACGGGTCGGCGGTGACTCTGGTTGTTCTTCCCGTAGGCGGTCGGCGTTACGGAGAGCCCCGGGTATCGGAGCCTTTTGCCTCAGCTGTTGGGGAGGAGGAGCGCTGGGAGCCCATCTGCCGCAGCCGCTTCCTGTCAAAGCGGAGGAACACCGGGCGCTGACGGGGGTTATTTGTCCGAGTGTTTCCTCCTGAGCGGCCTTCAGAAGCTGCCGGCGGACGGCGCGGAAGCGGTTGGGAGTTCCAAGTCTGAGCGTTCTTTTCCTGGAAGTACAGAGGATCTTACCGTCGGACACTTCTGTGCGCACGGCATGGATACACGGCTGACTTTATCACGTTTGGAATGCTTTGCTATCCAGATAAAGTGCTTTTAGGTTTTTAGGCGTTTTTTTTTTTTTTTTTTTTTTTTTTTTCTTCTGAGCACCTCTCTGTCTACAACTGGAGTTGTAGATTGGCTTTAGGTCACATGCAACCTGAGTCACTGTATGAGAACTACTGAAAAGCTTAATGGCTTGGATATTATTACCCTCACGTTATTTTTTAGATTTTTTGATGTAGCCTTTTGTCGTTTTGCAGTGCGACCGATTTTCTAAATGAAGAGTCTAACAGAAATCTGTTTATCCTTTTTTCTTTTTTATTTAATATTTTGAAAAAAATGTTGTTGCCAATAAGCAATATGGCGGTATCTAGATAGCTGTTGTTTACAGATGCTTCTGTTACCTCGAATGAAGATGTGTTCCTCAGTTCAGATGTGAAATTTGGATTTTCAGCTTGCAGTTTGTGACATAAAAAGTGTATTCATTTCATTTGGAGCTGATGGTTCTCATAGCGATATGTTCATGGAATAGACAACAGAATAAGCTTTCAAAGAAAAAACTTTTTGAGTGAGAGACTTGGTAGATTTTGAAATCTGTGAGCAAGAAGGATGGGTAGCTGATTCCTGTGAGGTCAAATCTATGTCAAACAGCCACGAATGTAGTTTCAACAAGAACTTGGGATATTATCTCAAGGAAAACAAACTGGAAAAATATAAATCACGTGGAACTAACGCCTTGTGCAGTCCTCTTGGATTAGGCAAGTATTGTGTTTGTACATCAATTTACGCTTGAAACACCTTGCCAGTAGAATGTTTAAATCAGTGACATTAACTGTCTGGAGAATGTAGTTGTGTTGTTTTTTTCATGTTGAAATGAGCTAGCAGAATCTAGTTTTTATTTGCCATTTTTTAATAATTATTGTAATGTCTTTAAAGATTGAAGAATACATGCTTTACTACTACCAGAGCAATTTGTAAGTAGGAGTGTGATTTTTTTTCTTTTTGTGAGATTAAAAAATACATACTTCTAGACAGAATCTGTAAGTAAGTTAACACATCCTGAACTTGAAAATGAGCTATTACACTTCTTGAATAAATCTGCTGAGTAACTTATCTTCCAGTTTTCTTTAGACATGTTTACAGTATGAAGGTAATGATGTAGCTTTGCTTTTTTGATAGTTTTCCACCCTTTTTTAACTATGGAAGCCAATTCTTTATTTACTACCTACGCAATCTGGTATTTTAATGTATTGTTATGTTAAGGTTGTGTTCAAAATAGTTTCCTGTTTTGGAATGGGAATGAATCTGATTTGAAACTATTACATAACAAAAAAAGTAAACCCACTTTGGGAAGGGTTCAAAACTGAGATATGTTGGCTAGCTGACAAATTTTACATGTTACTGTTAGATGTCCTGCTGCCATCTCCCCCTCTAGTAATTAAATGTTTCTCACTGTAAGTGCAGTTTAAATGTGGGAATTAATATATATTTATTGTATTTTCTTTGCAGGTTTGCATTCGACTGGATTGATACTACTTAAAAGAAAATTAAGATGGACAGAACAACTTAATTCAAAAGTTAGTGGTAATTTTACTAAATAAAACTCCTCTTTCCATCCCTGGTTAATTGTAAAGGTTGAAATAATTAAAGCATTATTAGGTAGGGCATAAACACAGTGTCTGGTAAAGGTGACAGATTTATTGTAGTCATTACCTTTTCAAAAGTTTGTCAGAGCTTCTGCATTGCTGAAATATTACTAATACTGAGCTCATAAAATGCCCTCAGTAAGGGCATTGCAAAGATGTTTGGGAAGATGACATGTTATAGCTAGTAGAGAAGTAATTCTAAGCTTGGGAAGCTGTCCCTAAGAATTTCCAGTTTTTTTTGTTTTTTTTTTTCCGTGTAGCTTTATATTTTGACCATAAATGAAAGGCTTGCATCTAAAAAGTTTTCTCAGTATCGCTTTAGTAGTTGTTTCTGTATGATGTCTTCTGGGTATCAAAAGTTGATTGCGCTTCAGCATTTTGTATTCTCTTTTGAATGGTGTTCCTGTTCACAGAATCACAGAATTGCCAGGGTTGGAAGGGACCTCAAGGATCATGAATCTCCAACCCCCCTGCCACATGCAGGGCCACCAGCCATCCCACCTAATGCTAGACCAGGCTGCCCAGGGCCCCATCCAATCTGTCCTTGAACACCTCCAGGGACGGGGCATCCACAACCTCTCTGGGCAGCCTGTTCCAGCACCTCACCACTCTCTCTGTAAAGAACTTCCGCCTGATGTCCAACCTAAATCTCCCTTCCCTCAACTTCAAACCATTTCCCCTTGTCCTGCTGTCACTCACCCTTTCAAAGAGTTGATTCCCCTCCTGTTTGTAGGCTCCCTTTAGGTACTGAAAGGCTGCAATGAGGTCAATTCTGTTCTAATATTTTAACTTTTATTTCAGTTTTGTTGTTTGAAAATAAACTTTGGATATGAATAGGAATCTGTTTCAGTAATCTCTTGTGACTGGGGCTTTTCTGCATTGAGTCTTCAGTGTGTCTGGCAATTGAGTGAATGAATTGAGTCACATGTAAAGGAACCAAACTAACAGAGAAGGATTTTGTTCATTCTTTTAAGTAGTCTGTGTTTTGCTTGAAACCATTTGGTGAATGGAAAGAGTTCAGGCTTAAGTGGCTGTTTCATTATATTTTGTCTATTATATGCCCATAAGCATAGCAGTACAAGTACTTAAGTAATACAAGAAGTGATTTGTTTTATTTTTCAAGATATTAATTTTCATTTGTGTGATAAACTTTTACCTCTTAATGGAGGGGTCCCACTGAAATTAAGGAGCTGTATCTTCCCTTTTAGTATTTGCATCTTTATTTAGTCTCTCTCTTCTGGATGTTTAGAAGATTTAGCTTTTTAGCTTTATTAAATTATCCCTCCAAATCTTTCTGGGTGTTGATAGGGCTGGGTTTTTTTCACAGTATTGATGCTTGGAAAGTGCAGTTGGTCTGACTTGCTTGCATGTATATTCATGTGTGCTTGATGACCATGCCCTCGTAGTCTGAACTAAATTTGTACGAGGGCTGCTCAGAAAGTAGTTCCTCCCATTTTATTGTGTTGGCTCATGATGTCAGAGGTGGATGTTGGTGGTATGGCAGGAGAAGTTGAACCTTCTGTCTCATCTGTGTTGTTGCTGTGTGACAGATGGCAGCAGAGGGGCAGTCTGACAGAATGGCATCTGACATGGGATCGGGTATGAAGCAAAGAGTTTCAGTGAATTCCTGCGTGTGGAAAAATGGCATTCATCCCATTGGCATTCATCTACACTTACTGAATGTTGATGGAGCCCAAACAATGGATGTGAGCATGGTGAGGCAGTGGGTGATGTGTTTCAGCAGTGGTGGTCATGTCCACTGGTGCAGGATTTTGTGAGGGTAGCATGCAGGCTCTTGTTCATGGCTGGTGAAATGCATAGCTAATGGTGGTGACTGTTTTGTGGTAAAGAATTCGCTCTATCAAGTAGTGTTACTGTACTTTTTGTATCTGTTGTAGTTTAGAAGACATTAGTTTCAGAGTGACCTGTGTAGTTGTGTGAGGCCCATTGAGGAGACCATACCCAGCATGCTGGTCCACTTTAGTACCTTCTTTAGGTTACTATTTGTGTAGTGCTGATAGTCTATTAAGTAGTTTGCAGGTGAGTATGAAGTTAAGGTCTTTGCCCCAGGGAGATTATACTTTGAGCCTTGACATAAACATAGTTTTTTGTACTAAAATAATTCTGAGCAGTTTGGCTTTTTTATTCTGGTAGAATCCTGAAATTGGTTGCTGTTGAGAATTTTTGTCAACAGTGGAGGCTGCTCTGCTATGTGCGAAAAAATACTTCTTATGGAAGCTTTTAAGTGTGAGCAGAGTTGAAATGTGCAGGAACACATAAGTGGAGTTAAATGTGTAAAACGTTATAGGAAAATTGTGCAATAATGTGCTTTCTTAGAACAGTGCAAGGTTGATGAGCAGTAATGTTACAGAGTGACTGGTAATAATATATATGTATTGGTTGTTGTATATGGTGCTACTTGCTTTTCCACAATCATTGCCTTTATTTTTTGGTAGAGGGTAAACAAAGCAGCCGAAACATGTAGGATTGGGTTCCAGCTTTATTTTGCTCAGGTATTTTAAAACTGCTATCTTTTACAACTTCCTTTTCTTCAAATTCCTTGTGAAGACTCCAAAATGCAAAACCATTCCAGTGATTTTGTTATATTACGTATGCTGTACTGAAAGGTGGTGGTGTTGCTGCTGTTAAAATTTCTGCTTTTGGATTTTGAACTTTGCAGAGGGCAAGAGATCAGTGTTTACCTGGGTTTCCACTGAATGGTGCTGTAAGTATGGGATTTCAGGCAAAAGGAACCTGGTCGTAGTTTACCTCCAAAGAAGGAAGTTAATCTGTGTGTGTGTATATACACACACACATATATACACAGTTTATGTGTATATCTATCTTATCTATCTATCTACAGTACGTGTACTGTATATTGTGATAGGTAGATGGTAGGACTGGATGATCTTGAAGGTCTTTTCCAACATTGATGATTTTATGATTCTCTCTCTCTCTCTCTCTATGTAATTTAGATTTTAATACACTCCAAGAACGAAAAGCTTCTTTGGATAAAAAAGGTGAAAAAGTTATTCTCATCTTTCTCATAAACTTGCTGTTTCTAAAATGTCTCCTAAAAGATAGTTTGAATTTTGTGAGACTGTTAATGCATGAGGAGTGATCTAAACCCTGTTGCTTGCGAACCATATATATAAGCAGAAAGAGAGCAGAATTTGTGATTTTTATAACAGTGATCTCTCAGGAAATCTACTGACGTTCTGAATACTTACACAAAACAGAGGTAGCAAGTGCTCTTTAGTTGAGTCATGCTGACATCGGGATCTTAGGGAGTCATAAGTAGAAATGAAGGTGTGTTTTTCTTGTTTTCCCATTTGTTTTTGCTAAGTCACTGTAGTATTTGGTCTTAGGGCTGTGTCATTACCAAAGAATGTGGTAACTTAAATGTTGGAAAAAATTAATAGAATCATAGGGTACCCTAAGTTACAAGGGACCCACAGGAATCAGTGTCCAACTCCAGGCTCCACACAGGAGCTGCCAATAATCCAAACCCCATGTCTGATAATAGTGTGCAAATGCTCCTTGAACTCCAGCAGTTGTAGTCATTATCACTGCCTTATGGACCCTGCTTCAGTGCCTGAAATGCGTGCGCCCTCTGGTGCAGACCCTGTCCCCAGCCCGCAGCTGCCCCTCCCCTGACACAGCTCCATGCCGTTCCCTCGGGCCCCGTCGCTGTCACACAGAGCAGAGCTCAGCGCTGCCCTCCGCTCCCTGTCAGCAGCTGCAGCTGCCGTCAGGCCTCCCCTCGGCTCCTCTGCTCTGGGCTGAACAAACCCAGGGGGCTTGGCCGCTCCTCAGAGGCTTTGTCCTCTAGATCCTTCAGTAACTTTGTAGTCCTTCTTTGGACACTCTAATAGTTATGTCCTTAACAGCGGCATGGAATCCTGTGCACAGCGCTGGAGATGAGGCTGCACCAGCTCTGTGCAGAGTGGGACAGCCCCTTCCCTCTCCTGTGGCACCCCGGGGTATTGTTGGCCCTTCGGGCTGCCAGGGCACACTGCTGACTCAGATTCAACTTGTTGTCACTGGAACCCCCAAATCCCTTTCTGTGGAGCTGCTCTCCAGCCTCTCATCCCCAGATTCTACATCTATCCAGAGCTGCTCTGTCCCTGATGCAGACTCTGACGCTTGCTGTTCTTGAAATTCATGCACTTGGTCAAGGCCCATCCCTTCAATTTATCAGCATCTCTACCATCAAGTGAGTCTCCAGCTCCTGCCAATTTAGTGTATTGTCTGCATACTTCCAGGATTTGCTACTAAGTATCTAAGCCATTGATGAAAGTACTGAAAAGAACTGGCCCTAAAATGGTGCCCTAGGGAACCCCTCTAGCAACTGGCTGCCTGCCTTATGTAACCCCATTTACAATAATGTGCTTGAGCAGATGTGCTTAATGTTTGTCCATCACATCATGTTTCTGTCTAGCCACATGCTTGTCTTTTTGTCTAGGATACTGTGAGAAATAGTAAGGTCTGAAATTGGTTGATGCATCTTAAAAAAAATCTCAGACCTGGCATGCCATTACACATTTGAAGGTGTTTGAATCTGATGGAGGACTTCATCGTGTTACTGGCACAGAAAACCCTAGTTCTCGTACTTCTTTCAGAGACAAGGCAAGAAGGTATACTTAAAAACAAAACAAAACAGTTTTTTTAGTACTAGAATTCTCATTTGAATAATTCTGTATTGGATGGTAGAGACAGTTAAACAAACTGGACACTGTACTTTGCAGTAATGTAGTTGAGAAAGAGGAAACTTCAGCTAGATTGTTTAGAAATTCTGAATGTTTGTTGACCCAGTGTGAGAGAAGACCTTCAAAGGTTCTGGTATTTTCTTCACTTTTAGTAGATGTGTGAGTCTTCAGTGATCAATTTTAGGCAGTGATAGAACTTGAGAGAACTGTTGTATCTCAAAC